AGGAGGAGGAATAAGCGTCCCCAACTTCGTTGGGCGGTTTTAAAATATCTTGGAACTGAATGCCTCTAAGGTTGCATTGTACCACTCCATACGACGCCTACAAAATAACACGTGATGTAACACTATCATTCTAACTTTGCTTCCTCTGGTCTCCAAGATACAATCAGTCACGCGCTTAGAATCTCGTATCTTGATCAGATTTAATAAAAATTCAAAACCATCTAAGCACATAGTGTGCATGGAGCAACTGGCATTCTTTCGTAAATGTTAAAAAAATGTCAAAGGAAAAAGCAGCTAATTTTTCGTTTTATCACCGCAGAAATTATGATGTAAAACCTTTTTATTTATTTTTTGGTCTGTTTGATGAAAGATTTTTTTATATGTCTGTGTTTTTTATCATTATTATATTCAAAAAATAAATGACTGTTCCGACACATCATCTCAAGGTGACCTTGCAATACGTGCCTGTTATGTTTACCGACATGAAACTATGTAAAACGACCCCGTTACCTATCACTGTCGGCGCCTTTTCTTTTCTTTTATATTTTGTAATCATGCCATTTTTGAATATTTCATAGTTTGTGATGACTTACCAGCCATTTTATTGAAACATGAGGATGCATGCTGTGTAAGCTATAGTAATTTTTGGTAACTTTCATCTGTTTGCTTTTAAATTATTTTCTCTGTCGTTTTCGTAAAGACTTGGTATCACCATTTTAAATTCGCTTTCAACAGGAGATGCAGTATTAGGTAAAAAAAAAATATGTAATATGTTATCGTTTATACTTTTTTGGTGTTTTTCATATGATATACCAGGTAACAGATATAAAACGTGATATCTAACTGAGAATTAAAAAAAAAAAAATGGTTTTCCTGTTATCAGTTTGTCCAATCATTGACCAGTTTTAAAGTTCATTTAAATTTAAATAACAAGTCTGAACTAAATCTGTTTTACCATATTATAAACATTTTTTTTATGTAAAAACCAGTTTGTGTTGAATAAAGTTTTCACGCTTTACCTGATAAGACCTTCACTTTGTTAGATTCAAATCTTGGCATTTACCTACAGTAAGACAATTATGGTCACCTCACTACCAAACTCTTTGACATTTACCTAAAGTAAGACAATAATGGTCACCTCATAATCCAGCTCTATGACATTTTCCTACAGCAAGAAAATTATGGTCACCTCACAACCCAACTCTATGACATTTACCTACAGTAAGACAATAATTGTCTCCTCATAACCCAACTCTTTGACATTTACCTACAGTACGACAATAGTAGTTGCTTTTCTACCAAACTCTATAACATTTTCCTACAGTAAGACAATTATTGTCACCTCACTACCAAACTCTATGACATTTACCTACAGTAAAACAATTATGGCCACCTTACTATAAACATCTATAACATTTACCTGTAGTATGAAAATAATGGCCACCTCACAACCAAACTCCATGAAATTTTCCTGTAGTATGAAAATAATGGTCACCTCACTACCAAACTCTATGACATTTACTTACATTTTGACGAACATGGTTACTTCTTCACCAAACTCAATGACGTTTACTTGCATTACGACAAATACAGTTGCTCCTCTATCAAACTTTCTGATATTTACCTGCAGTACGCCATTTACCTGTAGTATGACAATAATGGTCTTCACACTACCAAATTATATGACTTGATGACTTGAATGTGATGATTGATCACTTTTTTCCTCTTAGCGGTATCATACTACCAGCCTCGAGCCCCCTGCCTATGAAGAACGACCAACCTAGCCTACCTGTGGATTATACTAGTCAGGTTGATTCGTCACTAAAACACTGTGGTCTGGTATCATTACTTTCTGGGAAAAAACGTCTTACAAACCACTAATTACGTTGCCAGGATGGCTATTTTAAGTCTATGGGGCATTATGTTAGGGCTCAGCCTGAATCAAACTCAAAATATTTGGCCATATCTAATTACTTTCAATCCATGTAAAGCTTACTACTTATTTTATTCATTTTTCATTGCATAATAAAAGACTTCAAATCACTGTTGTCTGGAACAATGAAATCCTACTTTATGATATTGTTATCAATAATTATTATTGTGAATATTTTCACATATTTTCATGGGCCCGAAATTTCGTGATTTCCCAGAAAAAAACCCATTTCGTTCTATACATTTTGTAGATTACAACTACCCACTCGTACTGAGAATGGCTTTATGTCCAACTTGTATAAGTTCTAGGATGAAGACTACCCACGAAATCAACGAAGTTAAAAAAAAACCACAAATATGAGTGATTTCACAGTATTACATGTACAAATAAAATAATCATGAAATATATTTATTGGTTCTTTATTCAAAATTAAAAAAAAAACAATACAAAAAGTAAAATATAACAAATCAACATTATATAATAATTAAAGGCACTTCATTAATATTTAAATAAACGCTGAATAATATTCATATCAACACTTCATGGGAGTCAAATGAACACAAGTATTGGAATAATAATGCCAATATTTACATATACAATGTACTTAAAGCTCATTAAATGACTCTTCCATATCTAATTCCATGGCTTATAGCTCAATAACACTAATTGCAGCGGCCATTTTCACATTCATGCTTATTCATTTGTATAATGAAGCACCATATGCATATTTGTATCCATGATGAAGCACCAGTGTTTTATTCATTTCAAAACAAGCATTTGATGCTTTGCAATATAATCATAGACTAATCAGTACCTGCTAACTGATTGTTAAAAACGTTAAATAGATACGCAAAAGTTTACAACTTCTCCACAAAATGATACTGTCAATTAACTAATTTTCGCGAAATTTGAAATAATTCTCGCAGGTAATTATTTAGTCATTCAAAACAGGAATGCTTATATGTTACTGTTATATTTGCGAATCAAATCTGCGTAAAGTAGTCGTTTGGAGCATAATCGCAAAAAAAGGGTTTGCAAAATGTTTCTTTTTATTTCGCAAAAATTGAGTAATTTTCAATAAGAATGACTGATAGTCTATTTGATTGAGTTATTTAGAAACATGAAAATATCGTAAATAGAAATCTTCACGAATCATTTGTTTGACGCTGAATAGCAAAACTAGGTACTCACAAAAATATATGTTCGCAAATATTGGAGGTTTTACAGTCAGCATTGGTGATTGTTTGATTGCATTCTTTATACACGAGAGAATTGCACAAAAGTCATTGCATACTGACAATTTAGTCAGTGTATATACAGGAAGCCAACGATATCCATTATACTTAACAGTATACATACATAGTAATACGTTTACACAAATATTTGCTGCAGTGTAACGGGTTTGTTTAAAACATGAGTTAATAAGCACTGGAACAATGTTCACTGAAAACCATCAGGGATGTTTGTAGACTGTCACACATCTGTACAGGGAATGCAATGTTTGTAGACTGTCACACATGTGTACAGGGTATTTAATGTTTGTAGGCTGTCACACATGTGTACAAAGGATCCAATATTTGTAGACTGTCACACATGTATACAGGGTATTTAATGTTTGTAGACTGCCACACATGTGTACATGGGATTTAATGTTTGTAGACGATCACACATGTGTACAGAGGATTCAATGTTTGTAGACCGACACAGACATCATGATTTGTCTTGGAATTATACTCGTCCTCATCCACTCTTCCTTATTAAATATTGTCTTTAAGCTTATAAACACATTCGGGAAGCATTTCTGGTTGTCCGTTTACTTATTAGGTATCAGTATTAATCATGAAAGCGTATACATGTTTAACTGGAGGCTTTTACATCCGTCAATGGTTGAAGACTTTGAGGTATCTTCCATTCTTTCTAAGCACAGGCGTCACCCATGTGACGATTCTGCAAGGACGGGCGTCGTGTATGGAGACCGAGCTTACACCTGCTTGGGTAGCACTCGACTAGGTCTATACACTTCAGAAACTCATTTGGAAGTTAATTCCAAATAGTTTTAAGCTTTCTTAAATATTATTATCCGATATGAAACCTTTCAATGAGTTCTTTTTAATTTCGGTTGGATCTTGTTCAATAGTTTATACTTTTGCGATTTGTTGATTAAATATTTGTAGTTGCTCGCCGATAACTCATTGGCTTTTATCTTGCTCAAAAGTCTTCTCTTAAGATGGCGAATCGGGTCAACTGATTTCGGGATTGACGCCTTTGGTGATGCTTTTTTCATTCTGCTGCAGTCAGAATCTGTAAAACACAAATGGAACAAACAGTTAGATAAAGTATTTCATTTTAGTCTTTTGAAAACATAACATAAAAGGTAGCTGAGCCTTATTAGTCTGGGTTATGGATGATGTCGTTAAATAGATAATAAGCGGAAAACAGTCTGGGTTTTTTCAATCAGTGAAAATGATACACCTTAGTTATGTACAACTACATGTACTTTTCTTCATAAAAAGAATGAATTTATTGGCACTGATCAATTTCTGTATATGGTTTTTCAAATGGGTCAAGTTATGACACATCGTCTCAAATGTTTAAACAATCAGCTACCTCTTCGACGTGTAAAAAAATGACAGTTACAAGGACGATAGTTACCTGGTGAAGCCCAAAATTCCACCGTTATTAAAGTATGTCGGGATATCCAGTCTCTAGCCTGATGAATATGGTCGCAATCCCACAAAACAATATGACCTTTGGCGTTGTTGCCTTTCTTGGTGTACGTGATGACTTCCATGATCCCTTGTTTCCCCCAGAACTTATCTTTGGTGGCTATCGGATCTGTCTGGTGCAGCACCGAGATGTTAGGGTACCCGTATTTGTCCACCAAGAACGGCCCGTAAGCCAAAGGATGGTAGATGTACTGTAAGCCATTCCTTCCTTCCACACTGTCGTGGCCATAGGTAGAGAGTTTGATAGGCTGGCGTCCCAACGAGTGCTCGCCTCCGAGCTTGTTGAGAGTGACTGAAAATCTAAGAGCGCTTGTGTCATGCAGTAGGTTTTCTGTATCACAGCCAATCATTCGCAGCAGCATTCTGTGAGTGAACCTTCCACCATGACTGTGATATCCGGGATAGTTATGACGCAACTTCTGGAACGATGGCAGGGCAACCTGGCAAACGAAAACATAAAATGATATTATCGAATAATGAAGAAATCGCGGGGTTATTAAAGTTAACAATGCGAAATCATAATGTGTAAGGAACATAATTCAACGTAATTTATATAAAAAAAAAAAAAGATTTTTGTTTAGCGTTGACTCAATTTAAGGTTTGAGAAGAAAACACGTAAATAGATTAAAGCAAAATCAACGCCAAGTTGTAATGGGCTCAAAAATTTGAATTTGTGCTATCAAAGTATTAAGGATGATCCAAGTCCTTGGAATCGAGTTCAGCATCGTAATTCAACCAAGACAATTTATTCTTTTAAAGGAGAAGTCTTGAATGATAATGAAAGGTCGCTGTAAGTAGTTCAGCAATGTCGATTTAGTCATTGATTTAAGGAGAAGACATCCAGGAGGATGATAAGAGGGCAATGGAAGTAATTGGATAATGTCGGTTTAGTCATCTGAAGGAGAAAAAGGCCAGCCTAGATGATGATGATGGGAGGACAATGTAAGTAATTCAACAATGTCTGTTTAGTCATCTAAAGGAGTAGAAGGCTAGCCTAGATGATGATGAGAGGACACTGTGCAATGATTTAAGAAAGGCAATTTGGCCATTCAAAAAGCCAAGCTTACATTCTGAAGGGAGAACACAACTAGTGTTGTATTACATCTATACAACAAAACGTTGACAAGCTGATACAGGCATACCAAGATTATCGTGTAGAAGAGGAGACACCCTATACGATGATTGAGCTTACAACTGTTGTAGTGTTTATTTATCCCCCGTAGTCAACTACAATCAAATGGCATCGTATCATTTTCAAAGAAAATTACTACCTACTTGTCATAAAATTCGATAAAAAGGCAAAGTATTTAGTCACACTTTGATGGGGGCTCAAACTTTACAGCATTAAAATTTTGCACGTGTTTGTAAGAAACAAAGTTATTCTGGTGAGCAGGGCTGAATTTCATACGATTATGTATGTATAATTTGGTCCGGAATGTAATGTATACGAGTGTCAGCGTTTAGTTTGCACCTATCTCGGTAAATGTGTATCATTGTTGAATATTTAGTGTCAGAATAATCCAGCTTGTATGTCGGCGATAAAGACATTTATGTTAATATAAACAATACATTAAATAGCATCGGACATATTTGGACCGATCGATCATAAAATTGCTTAACTTCACTAGGTCATACTAAAACCTTTACATTTCTCCTCCAAAATGCCTAGAAATTTATCAAATATTTTCGTGTTTCCTCGATTCAGATGATAAACATTATGACCCCTCATTATACAGCACTAGCTATACATTTCAATCCCTTTGAGATGAAGTTTATTTATACAATACATGGTTAAGTGGACCTGTTACAGCTGTGCCCTGGTTGTTGATCATAAAACAATATTCTGAATCGTATTTATGCAAATGAATCCTATCGAATTTCCTTATGTTTAAACTTGTTCGTACTGAAAAACCAAATATTTAAATATGGTTAGGGTCAGATATCTGATAGACATGGCCTACTACAAAATGATAATTACCGTTGTTTTAGGTGAGGCAATACTTTTATTTATTATTATCGTTTTGTGTACAGTTTGATGAATGTTGCTACGCAACGAAAGTATTTATCAGTACGAGCGTCCTTGTGTAAAAACATTTGTTAATTCACTGTCAAAATGAGACCACTATTCAAAGGAGATATTTCTATTCACGGCGATTGCCACTTGGACGAGTTAGGGTGTGAACGTTTTGAGAAGACGGTTACCTGAGAGCGGTCGACACTTAATGAGATGCAAGTAACTTTTGCTGCGTGAACAATACACGTGATATAAGTGTGCTTGTAGACTTGACAGTATCGTTTTTGAAATGTTTTTCTTTGAATATTTGTATATATGTATCAACGTGTTTTTTTTAAAGTTTTCCTTTATGAATTGTTTTCATTGCCGAATGGGTAGTTTGACGAGGAGGTGAATCTAAGCTAAATGATAACAGTAGTGAACTTCAAAGTGTTGTATTTGAAATTAGAAATGAAAGTAAGGTATCGTTATAGTGTCTTTATCTTCACATCAACCTGACATATCACAGACATTCTAGGAGGTAATTTAGATCATCAATTCCTATATTGCAACCTAGTAGTCATTGTACATAGCATAATAAAACTCGCTTTTACATCTTCGAAATTTGAATGGTGGGTTGTCAGTGAACTTCTGTTGCTAATTTATCTACTTATGTTGTTAAACGCGGATAATGGAGGAGAAAGAGAGCTTATGCTTGTCTTAATCACATAGGAAATGTTTATATTTTAATACGTTTATGACCTTTCAAGTTTTTAACTATTGACACATTGAAAGAAAAATGCAACAACCGAATAATTATAGAGAAATAAAAAACACAAAATTCGAGCGTTTTTTTTAACAAGGTCTAATTTTCTTGTTCGTTTGATCAGATACTATGAAATTTAATAACTTTCGGTGGATTTTTATGGATCTGCAGTAAATGCATTATTCATAAAACATCGTAAAAAATAAGATTAATTCGTTAAATTATTCTTTCAACTTTAGTTTATAAATAAGAAATATATTTGGACTTTGAAACTGTCGTCTTAGGCTCCGTAACAGGATAATGATGTGTGTCAGTCGATAGCGCTTGTGATTCCACTCATCCACAGACCAGCGCTTTAAATTATTAGGGAGGTATTGGTCATGGTTGACTTAACATGATTCAAGTCATTGCACCTATTGCATGTATCGAAAAATAAAAAAGTGTAAAAAAATATTCATCAAAAATAGTAGATTATTTTAATGATAATAATTGGAATATTTCAGAATGTTTAAAACAAAAGAATACATACCTTGTCAGCCACAACAGAATAAATCCACACAGCTACAAATACTAGTAAAGTGTTCATTTTGGTTTGGTATCTTGTACAAAATATCTTGTCACTCGTGAACTAGTACTCCTATGACGAAATGTCTCGTGCTTTCTGGCGGGGTGAGGTCTGACACGAGGGGTGATGTCGTCTGCCAAAGAAACTGTCGTCTGCCTGAACCAGCTAGTGTCCAATCAGCGCATGGCAGCCCGCGTGCTCACGCGATTTCAATGTTCTTATGTGTATAGCTCCTCCTCCTTTGTGTTAAACTATATTCCATTGAACGTGCTTAAAGTCATTGATATGCTTTCAATTGTTAATAAATTCTTCTTATTCGTTTACTGTAGACTTGCCACCAGAGTTCGTACACTAGACAGACAAGTCCTTAACACAAGTCGACAAAATGGCGGTTTATCCAGAGATAGAACTCGGAGAGACGTCGATCAGAGGTTTTAATCTCTTAGGAAATTGACAAGTGCATTACAAGCATAACGGAGACGAGTTTTTCGGAGGCCAATCTTATTCATAACACGTATCTTCTAGCGACCCTTTCCTGTCGTTGCTCGCCATGTTCTTAATGTAGCATATGCACTCAACTTTTGTAAGAGAGTACATAAGATATGCAGATTGAAAAGTCGTATATTCATATATATGATAACGTTATATAGTGCCTTCATTTTCAATGCCATTAAATGTGGTATACGCATGACTGTGTTGTATAGACCATGTTACTGATCTACTTCTGTGTAAATTGTATTGCTTTGTTTCTTGTATTCGCCTATCCATTGTTGATAATCATTGTAATAATATTAACCTGATTTTAAAATCAAAATTGAGCACAGTAGTTTGTTGAACCTGGTTTGAATGCAAGGTATAGGGGAACATCATATGTATGATATTATAATATCTCTTTTTTGTGGTATAAGAAGTATATGAATCTTGTTTTGTTGGATTCTCTTCCAAAAATTTCAAGGTTTATGTGATGACATCAGGTAAACATGCAGTATAAACATGTATGTAATATAATCAAGAACCAAAACGATTTTTTACATTTCAGGTATTTTTGGTCTCACTTCGCATAACATGACTGTGCAATTCTTGTACATTTAATTACGTCATCAGAAATGCAGATTCCTTTGCTTTAATGTACCTCTCAGTTGGTAAAGGTTTTGACTGTGGTATCAAGTTTTGTTATTGACGTGAGAAATATATTAGAATTAACATATAGGCAATAACCCCCGAAACTTGTTACTGAGACAGAGAAACGTAAATACACTTTAAAAATGCATTCATTCATCTACCCATCCTATCTTGGATGTGTCAATAAAATCATACAGATCCACACGTGTGGAGATACTATTATGCTCATTGTAAATTTAAACTATTTTGGTGACGTCGAAGTCAAGCATGTGTTCACCAATCTCTTATTATGTTCTCCGAGAGTTGATGTAATTCACCCAGCGAAACACACACGTGACGTCACGGTTATTTGATTTGACGTAAGGCTCTTTCACGTGTTGGAGCTCTTCAGGGTTTTAGACACACAAAGGTTTCACGTGAAGCGTAATAAACGTGGTAATTTATTTGTGTACGTTAGCCAGTGGAAAACCGTTTACATGGCCACCGATTGAAATCAAAATATTTGACATGTTAAAGTATTGTAAAGAATCATATGCAATCGATTTCAATGCATTTGATGAAAAAAAACCCGGTTAAAATAACTTCAAATGTCGACCACCAACAAGTAAAGCACATCGACAGCTGTTAAACAAAATAAGACAAGTCACTTTAGCAAACACCTCATTGGAATACTTCACATTCATTTGTTTAGACCTGGAATATTTTGATAACATGTCATTTTCATTCGTCACATTTCTTTTTGCTATCGTTTTTGTCACATCTTTGTGTATTACGCTCATCTTTCAAGATACAAGGTGATAGACTCTGCTGGTGGATGTGTCTAGTCCCCGAGGTTTGTCGTAACCTTGGCGACCACAGTTATCTACTTTGAGTAGCGGCATGGTTCAAAATATACACACTTTACTTATTATATAATTTGAAATTAACAAGCACTCCTTTAAATTTTCAAATTAATCAATGGGTTATGCACCTGCCCCTCTGTATAAGTTATTTAGACAATTTGAATTTCCAACCATTTAGCCCCGAGTATCACCGATGAGTCCAGAAAGACGAATCAGCTGTACGGTACAGTATATGATGGCATACGGTATCTATTTCCAAATTTTAAAGGTGCAGTCACCTGGTAACGTTACATTGAGACTGAACTAAGTTTCATACGTAAAAACAGATTTTTGCATGAAATATACTCGGTAATGCACAAGATAATGCGACAAATTTTTCACCAATTTTTTGCATATTTCCAGGTATCTATCACGCCTGGTAATACTGGTGGTACCCGGTTCTATTCAACCTACTTGCCTGGGGATAAGGTGCACGTACCCCTAATGAAACCCTACCTTATTCAAACAAACACGGGGAGGATTGTTCCCCTTCCTAAAAAACAGTTGTTGGAGAGCCCTCCTTGACAGGTGAGCCATCTCGGGTGTAGTCTTTAACATAGCTGGCCTACAATGACACTTAACATGTCTTTTTCAAACTGTGAGACTAATTAACTGGAATACATTACACTCAGCTCATGAATAAAATATAATTTGCTTAAGAAGAATCTCGCCACGGGTGGGGACTGAAAAGTAAATTGATCTGTTACAGAAATTCGTGTTTGAATATTGACCATAATTGGTTTGTCAATGGATGTGTTTTTGAAGTTGTTAAGATTCTTTTTATTTCTTTGTTAGATTGTACTACATTTTAAAATTTGTGCTAGTGTCTGTATGTTAATAGTGGTCGTGTCGAGTTTCTAGAACCACAAGGCTGCGATTTGACGCCTAATTTCGAAAATAACGTAGATGTCTCTGAACGATCAAAAAACAATTTATATCCACGCCTACTCCTCTACACAAACACACGCTACTGTTAGTCTGAACCACGCTAGCTCTCATGCGGTAGACAGGGCATTCCCGAGGTTTGAGAAGGATTAAGGACCCTCATTGGCTATATTAAATGCAGACTTTGAAGTTCCATATTCCTTACAGGATATATGACTTTTTATGTATTGCATCCATACAAAACTAAGAGTAATCGTTTATATCTTCGTGACAGGTAACAGGGATGGATTTAGACGTTCTGTATTTAAAAAAAGGGGACGCACCTTCTGATAAAATGTTTAATTGCCTTCCACACTATAACTCACTTCTTCTGTTTCTTCACTTCTGCCGTCATCTATTCTACGCCTGTCTTTCCCCTGTTACTTTCTTCTTTTCCTTTCTATATCAATGTTCCTTTTTCTGTTATAAAGATACAGTAGATATCTGCACATATACCATGTACATATCAAACATCCCCAGGTTACATTATATCACCTATGATAAACGCTTTTCGGTATGATGTTGTTAGTAATTATATACACAAATATGTGAGACTATATATATATACTGTATTGAAAAACAAATCTGAAAATAAACCAAATACAAAAATATAGAGGATGGAATTCCCAAACAGCCTTGGATGCATCCTTTTTAGTAACTAAATAAATAGTTTGAGCATAAAAGAAGGAACTCTCAGAGATCAATTTAAAAGCCATCACTTCTTATTACGAATGGACCATCCAAACCTATAGCACAGCAATACTAGCTTTATTGGTGACTTTCCAGAACGACCCGCTCTATGTCCAAGACAATACTACAAACAAACGATGGCAATAGGGAAAATAACATACCTAGCTTAAACGTTAAGATCTCAAGTAGTGCGTTGGAAAAAGCCTATCAGTTTTTGCTCTCAATTGACACATGAAAAAACTGTGAAGTTAGTAGGTTCTTTATAGGATCAAACAATAGTAAGTAAATTGTTTTCTCCAAAAGCTGAGGGTACAGTGTAAGTTTTGTGTTGATACACATTAGTCATTGTGACTTGTATTGTTACTGTGATACACGTGCATAACAGTTACCGTGCATCAACATCTCTTTCTATTTTTTCGAAAACTTTAGCATAAAAGTGTTGGAATATTTTGCCTGAAAAATTCGCCGGATAAATATTTTATGTATATGTGTTTTGACCACGAAAATAAATGGAAAAAAATGAACCTCACGAAAAACACGGGAATGTACGGTGATTAAAAGAGAGCGCGTTAAAGCAATGATTGATTTCCAATCAAGATGCACCATCAACCATACAAATGTGGTTTTGTATGCAAACAATATTGTTCACCGTCAAAGTCAGTTTAAATAGAATGCAAAGTAATCATTTTAAACATAAGGTCATTGTGATATCATGATGATGTGAATATTGCCAATAAAAATCAACAAGTTTTACAGGGATTGTCGAATATGACAGCATGAACTTACAAAACAAAACTATTTCCTGTTGCATATCAGGCACTCGTCATGAGGGGATCGTTTTGCCCTTACTCATATATACAGGATAGAGTTTATAACTAAAACAAGATGTGCAGTTTCACAGCTTAAAGTGTGATTCCTATCCTTTTCTGAGTATTTGATCACTTACATTATTATATTACTTCGCTTTAAACAAGTTGACCCAAATTCCATTCAACACAGGCGACAATTTCCAAGTAAGACGGATCACCAAGACCAACACTTCTAAGTCTGTATTTATACAACAATGGCGAAGATTTGCTTCTCGTTATTTTTATTAAAACTTCTCTGATATGATCCGGTTCTTTTGGCTATTAATTTTGAATCTCATAAAGTAGAAACAAAACTCAGAAAGATTAACTGTAGGTTTATCAGACTTGGAAAGTCTGTACCAGGTACAATGATTAACCTCATAATGAAGACTGCTATACTCAACCCCACAGGGGATGGAAGGAATATATTTGCACATGAAAATAAGACTGATATTAACTTAAAGCAATTCCGGAATAACCTACTGGTAATACCAGTGTTTCTGGGCGATCTTTTCAGCGCGTGATGCCGGTCGATCGATAACAATTGCAATTGAGAGGATTACATTATTTGAAAAGCTGTAATATGAGAAAATATTTTCAGAAATCTGTTTCATAGGTTTAGTTGAAGTGTGTACATTGTTGTGCTGTGACGCCCATTTAGAGGACGGAACATGAATTGCTTCGGACTGAGTGCCTCCAACTATCTCAATCTGTTGTTTGCAATGGAAAAATAAATGCTATTTTGTGAAACATGACACAATTATCATGTTTTGAGTGTATGGAGTATTACCCCTCCTACTCCCGACCGACACTCAATAACAGGAAATGAAGGATTTATCAAGATAGAATCGATTTTTAATTTTAATCTAGCGGTAATACGAAGTAATATCTCATAAAAAGCCAGTATAACACAAATGTTAAAACGGGGCAGGTGCACTCTAGGAGAAAAA